AAAAAAAAAAAAAACACTCGAGATGTTTCACTTTGACCGACGCAGGCTTTGCTTCAGCAGACCATCCGTGGGCATTCTTCTGTTCACGCCTGCCATCACGATCCTTGCCGCCATCGAGACCGCATGGGCCACATTCGACATTATCAGGGTGCATGGCACCGCTGGCAGCTTCTACCGCTTCTGCGGGGTCGTGGCTATCATCGCGATGTGGACGCTCGTTATCGGTGCGCCCGTTGGCTTCATCGGTGTAGCTATCCGTAGCCGAAAGATCTCGTGAGTGAAGGGCTCTGGTATGTGGTCGTTGGTTGGGCAGGCGCGGATGGCTGACGATGGTTTTCTCGTCTCTACAGCACGGCCTGGTGGCACCTAGCGACCTGGCACGCAGTCTTCACCACCGTTGGCGGTATCATCAAGACCATCGCTCTCCTCGCAAATCGATCCGGCTGGCTGAATCTTTGCAACGCTGAGCACCAATACCTGTTCGATGGTATGATCAGTTGCAAGCGCTATTGGCGGATTCGTATGCTAGGACACGTCATCGTGTACTTTGGGCTATCCACGCTCCTGATCATGAGCGCCATGCTGCTCACCGGATTCGTTGCGGAACTTGCCAAGAGCGACGAAGGTCATCAAGAATTCATCGTGGTAGACAATAGTCGACGCGGTGACAACATTGGTCTCACGCGCACCTGCGCTGGTGGCGGTGCTGATAGTCATCGTGCACGCTTCGTCGCGCCCCATCTGCCTCGGCCAGCTCCTCAAAGAGCCGATTCTGCCCGATCAGAAGACGCGCCCGTGACTGCGGACCACGTCATCGAAGGCCTTCCGTCTGGCACCTTCACCGAGATCCCTCTCTCTGAGAAGAAAATGGTCGACTCGCCCTCGTCTTCCTTCTCACCGGATACCAATCCTTTCGCGGACAAGGCCGCCAATCATGAATGCTTGCCTCCTCCTCCCTTTGAGGCAATCCACCCTACACATGCAGTCGTGGCCAAGGAAGCTGCCGCAGCAGAGAATGCCAAGGTGCAAGTTCCTGAGACGGCACATCTTCCAGACAGCAAGCTCCAGGGCTAGATAGCATGATGTGGCCGCATTGGGATTGCTAAGAGGCAACGCAGACCATCATCCTCTTGACTTTGTCAGACTGCAGCGTTGCCGTTCAAGAAAAAAAAAACCCCACGCAGAATTGTGGCGTCTGATCGTGTACAAGTGTCCAATCCGTAAACCTTGATCGAATGATGCAGGTCATTCCTGGTACTACCATCTTCTCAATGCACCTTCGAAGCTTCACGGGCGAGGACCATACAGAGCGCCAGAGTCAGTGTAAATCGTCTGAGCGGTGATGTTGGTGTCCTTGAGCAGGCCAATGTAAGTCTGAGCGACCTCGTGGGGCTGAGCGATCTTGCCCGTCAAAGCCCTTTGACTCATGGCCTCAAAAGTCTTTTGCCTCTTGTCTTGGGGCATGCCGTTCCACAATTCCGTCTCCACTCCTCCTGGGCTGACCACATTGACTCTCAAATCGTACTTGGAAAGATCGTAGGCCAGTTGTCTGCCCAGGCTTATCAGACCACCCGCAAATCCACTGATGATGGCCCAATCGGGTCGAGGGCTGACGGAGATGGAACCGGTGGTGAGGGTGATGGAGCCGCTTTTGCGAAGATGCGGCTGAGCAGTCTTGGCGGCCAGGATGGCACTGAAGAAACGCACTTCGCCCGCCTTGAGGATCTGGTGGTAGCTTGCTTGCTCGAGCGGTGATATGGCCAGTGGATCTCCAGCAGTGTGGATTAGGTGGTCAAATCCACCCACGGAAGAGAACAGACTGGCGAGCGACTCCTGCACGAGTAGGAAGCGCTTGGCGTGAGCAAATTCCACTTCGGAACGGAGCGGCATCACAGTTAATTGCACAGCACTGCTATCCATCACTCACCTCCATACCCTCTCCTTGAAGGTTGCACAATTTTGCAGAGACCCTGCTAGAGTCCGCATTGTACTGCAGCTTGGGATCGTTGAGACGCTTGACGGCATCGTCTAATTTGGATCGATTGCTGCTAGAAATGACTACGCTCGCTCCCTCTTCGATGAGAGCAGAAGCCACTGCGAAGCCTAGACCTGAGGATCCGCCGATGATGACCGCCTTTTGGCCCTTCAGCTGCGAGACGTAACGAGGCTGTGCAGACATGATGGAGTGGTCGTGGTGCAGAGCAAGGATGTAGGATTGGAGGATGTGGAGGATGTAAAGTTTGGAAAGGACAATTCTACGAAAGATGATTCGAGTCCCATTTATAGACGTCGTGTATCGTCTCCGAGCTCATCGGAGACGCCGTGCAAGCTTATTCATAGACCAAAAGCTTACTGTACACTTGCCCTTCATAAGCTTATTCCTGATGCGTTGACGTGATCGCTGAGACGCCGCGAACATAGGCAAAGAACACCGGAGAAATGCGGTGCACCCGACTTTCGGCAGAACCACGCGGCCACTAGCGCCTTTACGCGGTACGGTACACGTACAGGGTC